GCGGCGCATCCAGTGGAGCTCCCTTGGGGCCACGAAACGTCTAAAGGTTACCAAGATGGGGGGTGGGCGGGCGAATGCGAGTTCTGGGATTTGGGCCTTCGGTGGAGTTCCCTATGGGGCGACGAAGCGCGCGAAGGGTGTCCTAACATGGGCGCGGTGGGCGCATGCGAGAGCTGGGATTTGCGCCTTCGGTGGAGCCCCCTACGCGACCACAAAACGTGTGAGGGGTGTGCCAAAATGAGCGCGGTTGGCGCATGCGAGCGCTGGCATCTAGGCCTTTTGGCGGGGCTCCCTATAGGGGCCAACAAACGATTAACGGGTGTCCCAACATTGGCGCGGTGGGCGCATGCGAGCGGGCATGTGGACTTTCGGTAGAGTTCCACATGGGCCAACAGCGTGTTAAGGGTGTGCCGACATGGGTGCGGTGGGCGCATGCGAGCGCGGGCATCTGGGCCTGTGGTGGAGCTCCCTGTGGGGCCACAAAACGTGCGAGGGGTATGCCAAAATGGATGCGGTGGGCGCATGCGAGCGCTGGAATCTGGGCTTTCGGTGGAACTCCCCATGGGGCCAAAATCGTGCGAAGGGTGTGCCAAAATTTGTGCGGTGGGCGCATGTGAGCGCTGGCAGCTGGGCCTGTAGTGGAGCTCCCTCTGGGGCCGCAAAACGTGTGGGCGCATGCGAGCGCTGGCATCTGGGCCTTCGGTGGAGCTCCCTAAGGGGCCACAAAGCGTGTGACAGGTATGCCAAAATACATGCGGTGGCCGCGTGCGAGCGCTAGCATATGGGCCTGTGGTGGAGCTCCCTATGAGGCCACACAACGCGTGAGGGGTGTGCCGAAATCGGTGCGGTGGGCGCATGCGAGCGCTGGAATCTGGGCTTTCGGTGGAACTCCCCATGGGGCCAAAATCGTGCGAAGGGTGTGCCAACATTTGTGCGGTGGGCGCATGTGAGCGCTGGCAGCTGGGCCTGTAGTGGAGCTCCCTCTGGGGCCACAAAACGTGTGGGCGCATGCGAGCGCTGGCATCTGGGCCTTCGGTGGAGCTCCCTAAGGGGCCACAAAGCGTGTGACTGGTATGCAAAAATACATGCGGTGGGCGCGTGCGAGCGCTAGCATATGGGCCTGTGGTGGAGCTCCCTATGGGGCCACAAAACGCGTGAGGGGTGTGCCGAAATCGGCGCGGTGGGCGCATGCGAGCGCTGGCATCTGGGCCTTCGGTGGAGCTCCCGATGGGACCACAAAACGTGAAAGGGGTGTGCCAAAATGAATGCGGTGGGCGCATGCGAGCGCTGGCATCTGGGCTTCTGGTGGAAGCGAGGCGAAGCGAAATGCCGGATGCGTGCGTGCTCATACGGGGAGCACTCCCGTGCCCAGTAGTACATGGCGTGGAGGCCGTGGCCTCGAACATGTGAAATTTAGGCAGACTCACGTGATAACCACCACTCATTGCTCCGAGCCGCTGATAACCACCGCAGGTCGATTGTGCTGTTGTTTTGGTGTTGTCGTGGTTGGGTCGCCGCTCGGATCTGCTCCTGCCCTGTGTCGGTGTCGCAGTGGTGACCGTCCAATGTGTGGAGAAACTTCTGGATGTCGTCGTCCCATCGTTTTTGTTACCCTCCTTGTTGCCGTCGTCCTTGTTGTCGAGGGTTGGATTTGGGTTCCAATTAAGCTCTCTCTGTGTCCACCGTGTCGGAGGGTGAAGAGCCACCGTATTTGCCCAGCGCCAGGCCATCCTCGATGTAGGTGGAGTACATCGGGTATGTCATGTTGCAACATCAATGTCTCTGCTCTCCGTGTACTCCTGCGGGCTTAGTCGGACCACAATTCGACGTCCTCGTTTTGCGTATTGCCCGGTTGCGTGTTTTTGTCGCCGCTGACGTCGTCATGCGCGTTTGGCTGGTGTGCAGGTGGGTTGCTGCAAACGTCGGACTCGCTGGAGTCGTTTGGTGCTGTGCTGCTGGCGGAGTTCCCTACGGGACCACGAAACGTGTGAGGGGTGTGCCAAGGTGGGGGGGATAGGAGGACCGAGGGGGCAGCTGGAGGAAGGAGTGAAACGCGGGGCGATGTCTCTTCAAAACGATGACCTTAAAACGGCTGGGGATCAAACACATTGGTCAGCTGGCAGTGGGGACCACCATGAGTTATGCATTATAGATGAGGAGTCAACAACAAAAGCAGCAGCAACAAAAACAACAACAAACAAAAACAACAACAACCAAGAACAACAACAAAAATTATCATGGCGAAGGACCCAACCATGTGCAGTTGTGGGTACCGCAATTGTAAATATGTTTTCGGTAAAGCTCCCTATGGGGCAACAAAGCGCTGTACTGGGTGGGGGGGGCGCATGCGGGCCGTAGCACTGAGGCCGTCGGTGGAACTCCTTGCGGGGCCACGAAACGCTATACTGGGCGTGGGGGACGCACGCGGGCGGTAGCACTCGGGGTTTCGGCGGTTCGGGCCACAAAACGCTGTACTGGGTGACTAAATATGCCACATTGGGTTTCTGGGACGCATGCGGGCGGTAGCACCAGGGGCTTCGGTGGAGCTCCCTATGGGGCCACGAAACGCTGCACTGGGTGGGCGAAAATGCCACATTGGGTTTCCGGGACGCATGCGGGCGGTCCCACTGGGGGCTGCGGTGGAGCTCCCTATGGGGCCACGAAACGTTGTACTGGGTGGGTGAAAATGCCAAATTGGGCTTCTGGGACGCATGCGGGCGGTCCCACTGGGGGCTTCGGTGGAGCTCCATACGTCGGGTTGACCCAAAAAAGTCCAGCGACAAGGGGGTGGTGCCCTTGATTTGGTGCAATAGATTCGTGGGGTTGCAATACATTTGGGGCGTGCAATACATTCGGGGGCGCAAATGTATTGCTGGATCTTCGCGTGCATTACGTTAGTTACAATACAACGCAATAAAGTTCTCCAGCGCAATACGTTTGAAAGACAATTAGTTGCCCCTAATCTAGTGCACAACCCCTTTTTCAGCTGGACCACCTTTTGGGTCACCCCGACTATGGGGCCACGAAACGCTGTACTGGGTGGGTGAAAATGCCACAGTGGGTTTCCGGGACGCATGCGGGCGGTCCCACTGGGGGTGTCGGTGGAGCTCCCAATGGGGCCACGAAACGCTGTGCTGGATGGGTGAAAATGCCAAGTTGGGTTTCCGGGACGCACGCGGGCGGTCCCACTGGGGGCTTCGGTGGAGCGCCCCATGGGGCCACGAAACGCTGAACTGGGTAAGTGAAAATACCAAGCTGGGCTTCGGGGACGCATGCGGGCGGTCAGTCCCACTGGGGGCTTCGGTGGAGCTCCCTCTGAGGCGACGAAACGCTGCACCGGGTAGGCGAAAATGCCAAATGGGGTTTCGGGGACGCATGCGGGCGGTCCCACTGGGGGCTTCGGTGGAGCTCCCTAAGGGTCCACGAAACGTTGTACTGGGTGGGTGAAAATGCCAGATTGGGCTTCCAGAGACGCATGCGGGCGGTCCCACTGGGGGTTTCGGTGGAGCTCCCTATTGGGGCCACGAAAAACTGTACTGGGTGGGTGAAAAACGGGGAGGGAAGAGGAGTGGGGAGGGGGACAAGGGAGGAGTGAGGGAGGAACGCGGGGACCGTCTCTTCAAAACGAGGACCCAACACCACGGAATGGTTGGGAACAACAACAGTCAAGTTCAAATAAAATATCATTGCCGCTGCCTATAGACGGCAGGAAGACTCGCTTCGCTGACTTGCATGTGAGTGCCAACGAAGCGAGCTTGCTTACAACAGAATATGTTAGGTAAAGAACCGTTCACGGTGGATGCGCCAACTTCATTGATAACACATGGGAGCCTCACATACCACCTTGTTGGCTCTTGCAAACCGACGCGAAGCGAGGCTAACCGTCAAGGCTAACCGTCAACGCTACGTCGACTTTAAATCGACTCGAATCGACGAATGAACTCCTTACTCAAGAATTAATCGAAAGAATTCCTTACGATGGATTGCTTTAACATTATTAATGATGGATGCTTAGCCATCATGTAAGTGGCCCTGAAACAAAGATCCCTCACGAGAGGATCATCAGATATGATCCCTTACTAGGGAATCGGGGATCCTCATACATGAACTCTGAAGGAAGAATCATTAAACGGGAACCCTTACTAAGAAACATATAGGGCCCTGAGCAAACAATCCTCAACAAAGAGAACTTAATCCGCATCTTCATCCTCATCCTGCACTTCCGCACATTCATCCTCGTACTCGACCCGTTCCTTGTCTATATGTTCATCCTCGTCCAAGGATTATCGTTGTGTTCTTCCTCCTTCTCCTCCTCCTACTCCTGCTCCTCCTCCTCCTCCTGCTCCTCCTTCTCCTCCTCCTCCTGCTCCTGCTCCTCCTCCTCCTCCTCCCCCCCCTCGTCCTCCACACCCGACGCCCTCCCGAAGGGCGTCGGGACCTCCCCTGAAAGAGCCCCAACGGGCCCAAGCGCCCCCAGGAGAGCCCAAACAGACACTATCCTTACACAGCTGTGCTCCAGAGCTCGGACCTCTTTGTCTTCGCTCGTCGTTCGCTCGTCGTTCGTCGCTCGGCGTTCCCCCTGGCCACGGAAGGAGACTCCTGGGGGAACGAGGCGAAAGCCTCCCGCCCCTCGCGGCTCCCTGGTGCAAGAGCCGGAGCACGAGCGTGCCACTTCTTCGAGACTGAACCTGCCCGCGCCATATCCAAAACGACTCTCCACAGAGAACACTCAGAGTCGCCCAAGCTCCCAGAGGGCGGCTGATGATGCGCCGCCAGCGCTCTCGATAGAGAGAAAGAGAGAGAGAGAGGGACGGAGACAGAGAGAGAGAGAGATAGAACAACAAGAAGGGGGGAGAGAGAGAGAGAGGGAAGGCGGGAGAGAGGAAGAGAGCGAGGGATGTAGAAGAGGAAAGGGAGATAGAGAGAGAGAGAGAGACAGAGAGACAGAGAGACAAAGAGATGTAGAAAGAAGAGGCTCCGACACGTTCGGATCCAACCACCGGCGATGCCTGCGGCCCCCGCAGGGCGCGGCCCGACGGCGCGGCACTCGGCGAGGCCCCCGGCGAGGCCTGCAGCGCACTCGGGCGCGCCACCGTGGCCGACCCGCTCTGGCGCGCCCCCTTCTCGACGCTCGACCGCCGCGACAGCGACCGCTGCGGCCTTGCGAAGGAGCGGGAAGGCAGGAGCGAAGGGCGAGAAACAGGAGGAAGAGGAGGAGGAGGAGGAGAAAGAGGAGGAGGAGGACGGGGAGGAGGAGGAGGGGGAGGAGGAGGAGGAGGAGGAGGGAGGAGGAGGAGGCGGAGGAGGAGGAGGGGAGGAGGAGGAGGAGGGGGAGGAGGAGGAGGAGGCGGAGGAGGAGGAGGAGGAAGAAGAGGCAGGGGAAGAAGAAGAAGGAGGAGAAGGAAGAGGAGGCGGGAAGGAGGAGGAGGAGAAGGACGAGGACGACGACGAGGAGGAGGAGGAGGAGGAGGAGAAGGAGGAGGAGGAGGACGACGAGGACGACGACGACGAGGAGGAGCAGGAGAAGGCTGGGGAGGGGAAGGGGGAGGAGGAGGAGGAGGAGGAGGAGGAGGAGGGGGAGGAGGAGGAGGAGGAAGCGGAAGACGAGGAGGGGGAGGAGGGGGATGAGGAGGAGGAGGAGGAGGAGGAGGAGGAGGAGGACGTGGAGGAGGAGGAAGAAGAGGATTGCCATAAAAGATTGCCTGCGACCACCCTCCCTTCAAGTTCCATCTTCATAGGCCCCTACAACGGCTCATTTCCATTGACGGATCTGCGTCGTTGGAAAACATCCGCTTGAAGACAGCCAAAAAATTGTTCTCGGGATTCCGACGCCACGGATCAACGTGACTGTTGCGTATTGACGATCCTGGATCGTGCCACAATGGCATTATTGATATTTCAACACCGCGAACCAGCGTAACTCTTGCATACACGAAATCCTGAACCGTTCCAAAACACAAATTCTGGTTCGTTGATCGTGGAAATCCGTAAAGAAACTCTTGCAAAATGCATGAACGAATGTGCGTGGCGCTAATGCGAGAACCACATTTTGAAAAGGAACCGCCCTCAATCCGTGAAGTTCTTGCATTTGTGTAAACGAATGTGCTCGGTGCTGAAACGAGAACTACATTTTCAAAATGGGTTTTCATCAGTCACCGAAACTCTTGCAAATTGTTAAAACGAATGTGCGCGGCAATAGGGCGAGAGCCACATTTTGAAAACCACCCGCCCTCCATCTGTAAAACTGCTCCCAATTTGAAGCGTCAGAATAAACAATGGTGAGGGAGCCTCTGGCAAAACACCCGGCCCGTCCAAAAAACTTGCCTCGGGGTGGGACAGGGAAAAATTACGTATAAGGAAAACGAATGGAAGAGGAAAAGGAAAAGGAGGAGGAGGAGGAAGAGGAGGAGGACGAGGGGGAGGAGGAGGAGGAGAAGGAGGAGAAGGAGGAGGAGCAGGAGGATGAGGAGGGGGCGGAGAAGAAGGACGAGGAGGAGGAGGAACAGGAGGCGGAGGAGGAGCAGGAGGATGAAGGAGAGGAACGAGGAGGAAATGGGAGAGGAAGAGGGGCAACAGGACAAATCAAGTCAAGTCTGGTCGAGAGGTCTGGAGGCCGCTCGCTCCGCAAGCGGAGACGGAAGGCGTGAAACACGACGGCAAGAAAACGCGCATGCAAGATAAATGGTGAATGAAATATCGGCACAAAACTCTATCTGACATCACGCGTTCCACCACATGTAATTCAAAAAATGCAGTCTCCAACCGCTGCCAGGGAAAAGGCTCTCGGCGACCTACAACATGTGATAAACTCGAACCTTGCTCTTGTCCTGAGAAAGAGTCGACGGCATCTGTCCATTTACGTCGCGGCCGGCCTCGGCGTCTAACTCCGGGCGGGCGCCATCGAAACATTTGCGCTGGCCACGTCTGCGGGCCACCAGCGGCAAGACGCGCCACAAGGCGCCACAAGGAGCGATCCATCACAACGAGCCAGTCTGACACAGGAAAAACGCCTGAAACGACGCGCACTTTTGGCTTGCAACGTCGCCCCGCGCCCTCCCAACTTTCGCTGGGATGCTCGATGAAAACGACCATCTTGCGGTGCATCGTTTCTCGCGTCGACGCAATCCGCGACCGATGGACTGCCGTCGCGGCTGTCGTCGAGAGACCGTAGACCGCAGTCGGCGCAACAGTCGCGTCGAAAAGTTCCAAGCGAAAGCGCAACGATATAACTCTATTCAACCGCACTGTTTTGCGCGAGTGAAAATTACCCCGTGCCCACTCCAAGCAATAATTTGCATTGCAATCTGATATGCCGCGCAAAGCCCCTCCGAATTTCTCACCGAGAAACTTGCGAAACACCAGGGACGCCATGACAAGCAACTGGCATCCGGCAAGCTGCAGCACGAGAGGCTCTTCAACGTTGAACACAGAGACACGCTAGTGAACGCGCGCGTCTTGTCTGCATCCAATGAAAGGCCGCACGCCGACAATTCTCCCGAAAGAATGTCTAACATGCGAGTCGCCTCTGTGGCAGAACGCGCACAGTGAAATATCATCCGCACACCAGACACTGCAAATTAACTTGGCGGCTCCAACGTCGAAGCCGCACTGATGAGCTCGGGTTTTGAACCTACGGCTTGCGTGCTCCAGTCCGGCGTAGAACAGCAGCGATGACAAAAGATCGCCTTGTTTGACTCCGCGCGTTATGTCAAACGCTGCGCTGCCATTGACGCCGCCCCACTGGGCACTGTAGATGTCTGACATGAGACGCACGCATTCTATCTACATCAACTCCCTCTTCCGCCAACGCTTGGAAAAGCGCGCGGTGCCCCAGCCTGTCGACAGCTCTAGCGAGATCAACGCTGGCTACCCACAGCGGGAGCTGCCACTCCCAGGCCTTCGCGCAAAGATCCCCCAGAACGACAGTTGCGTCGTCAACGGAACGGCCCGGTCGAAATCATACTTGGTCACGCGTCCGCCCCCTTTCTAAAACGGGCTGCAAACGCGAATGAACTAGGCGAGCGAAAATTTTACATGTTATGCGCGAAGTCGCAATGGGACGCCAATTCCTTACATCATGCCCGTTGCCAGTCTTCGGCAAGATGGTCAAACGTGCCTCCTGCCACGCGGGGTCGACGCACCTGCGCTGAGGAGCGCGGTCAAACGCGACGCAAGGTGCCCGCGCAGAGCATCGCCACAAAACGCAGATATTTGAAGGGCGGTGCCGCCTTGATCTGCGCACTTTCCGCGCTTCATGCGCTTGAAATCTCCGTCGCAACCCCCCCGTGCGAAACGGCGGGGCATCACGCGGACCTCTGTCGCAATGCGCCGCTGCCCACTCGTCTCCGGCAGCGCCGCAGTCCGTGGAAAAATGCGTTCGAGCGAATCCTTCGACGCATTATGATCTAATGGGCAACGCTTGCTCCGCTGCGTCGGAAACACGCGCGCGCGAAGCATCTGCTCGACACCTTCAGATGCCCGCAGCTGCGAAACAGCACACCCATCGCAATGCTCACGCACGCGTTTCCGGCGCCCCCGAGGAATCAATCTAGACAATATGGACATTTCTTGCGGGCCACGTGTCTCGCGCCTCCTCCGGCGCAGCCCTCGTAGTTCAGGAGCGCCCCATGGCTTCGCGCGCGAGAGAACCGCGCTGTCATTTGTCGCTGCTTGCCGGGCTGATGCAACGACGTGGCCCCCCAGGACCAAAATGAAGACGGCTGAGACACGGGCGGAGACTTCTGCGCAATCCCCTTGTAAATCAGATCTCGGCCCTCGGCATTTAACAAAGGTTTCCATCGAACCACCCCGCGCTGCCGGCGTCGAGAGGCTGGGTTTTACATCGCGCACCCCGCGAACTGCGCGACGGTCAGAGCCCAAATCTAGAAAGTCACTCGGGCAGCAAGACTGGCAGTGAAACGAAACATAAAATAACACATCGCCCATGACCCGCACGGCGCCAAAGTAAACTTCGAAATGCCCACGCATCAGGCGCGCGCCGAACATCGCTAGCTTCCGAGCCGTTCTCGGAACAAAACGTTTGTAATAAGCGCCCTCTTTCTCCGAATTCTAACTGCGCCTTCAAATCACCAGCTACGCATATTTCTGGCGTCGCCTCTTTGCAAAATCTACCTCCCACTGTGAAATGTGTAACATTGTATGAGATCCCCCCGCGGGGACACAGCGTCTGGCATGTACGCAGAAAGGAACGTGCATGCACAGCCGTGGATATCAATGTCAACTGCTAGCACTCTGCCATACTGCGCGCGCGTAGCCGCGACACCTCCCGCGCGCCGATCACGCAAAGAGATGGCCACCCGCGCATCTAGATGGGCCAGATGCGGCTATGAGAAGGTGACCCCGTCAAGGTCAACGTCATCAGACGCTGCACGGGTCTCTCCAACACAGATAACACCCCACTTTAGCTCCGAGAGCTCCACCAGCAAAAGCCCTAACCTATCAAGAGCACGTACGCGTGCATGTGTGCCGTAAGCGTTAAAATTAGACTTAACATCGGAATATGGTGAAACGTATGCTGCACCTCTCGAACGGCGTTGCCCCTAGCTACGGCCGTCGGCAGCAACGCGGGCAGGTGGAGGACGATCGAATTATCCATCTCGCTGTCGCCCTGCCTTGCCGCCACCATGTCCCACCTCGCCCTTGCCCTTGCCCTTGCCCTTGCCCATAGCGCCCAGCAGGAGCTTCTCGGAGTGCGTGTTCAGAAGTTATTACCACTCTGGGTCTGCGCTCGGGCACTGCTCCCAGCCGTCGCCGTACTTGACATTCAAAGCTCCTGCCGTCGCGTTCGCCTCTAACAAGAGATCGCCCCCCATTTTCATCTTGCCTGCCTCCGGATCCAACCAAAACCCCCTGTCCCCGAAGCCCCACGCGACGAATAATTTCTCTGCGCCGAATAATAAAGACTGGGGCGCACGGATCTCGAAAGGGGCGCCCACCCTCGCCCATACCAGCTTGTCCTCAAGGTAGTCGCGCGCAGCTCTGAGCTTCGATACTGCAGAGTCTCGATCGGCCGTGGACGCGAACTCGCCGACGAGGATGCCCGAGAAATCCCCTTTGGAATAAAAATCGTCGGCTGTCGGGGCACTGCACCACGAAAGCTGGCCCTTCAACCACGTCTCTACCTGCCCCTGGCCACTGAA